GTATATCTGCACGTAGATAGCCATTGTTGTAAATGGATAGCTTTAATAAATGGTCTTGTTCGAAAAAACAAAAAAAAAAAAGAGCAAACAACGAGATTGGTTGCGATCTATTTTTCATTCAGTTTGCCTGAAGGAAGTAAAACTCGGTGAAAACTAAAATCTCATCACGTCACTTGGATATTTATTTGTTACACATATAGGTACGTTGTTACAAATGTGCTCTATTGGGATTTATTCTTAAAGGAAGTGCATCGTATAGCGTAACAGTTGTGGTTCACACTGCGACAGTTACCTAATAAAACTGCCAAGAAGGAAATTCTGAAAAGACTCTAGGAACATTCCTGATGGAAAAATGTCAGCCAAGTAAATAAAACATACAACATTTTAATTAAAGCATTTTGCATCGAGTGAACTAGATTAATCTTTGTACGTAAAGCATTAAGACTTCAAGAATTTTACTTTGCAATTGAAACGCTATATTAGAAGCCCTTGACAAAAATTTTCAGTCTCTTCCCAGTCTCTCAGAGTCTTTCATCGTCTCTGAGAGCGTCTCTCACAGTCTCTTAGTTATTGCCTAGGCGTTTTTATGGATCTCTCACAGTCTCTGTATGAGATACTCGAACGATAAAATTGTTAATTCAGAGATTCGAGTCTCTCACAGAGAGACTGAATGAATAAAACTGAAAAATTGAGAGACTCGAGTCTCTCGTAGAAAGACTGGAATCTCTGAAATATGTTGAACTTATAAAGTTTTAACCATGTGTATCGAGGCACCGCTTATTGAGAGATTCAAGTCTCTCATTGAGAGATTCGAGTCTCTCGTTCGGAAACTGGACGCAGCAATGAGGATCTCTTTATGAGCGACTCCAGTCTCTCGTTCAGCGACGCTAAACAATTTTTTTTTGACAGTCTCTGGACAGTCCCTCCCAGCGATACCATAGAGACTCAATGAGAGACGGAGACTCGAGTCTCGCTTTCAAAGACTATGAGAGACTGAACATTTTTATATCGGGAATCTCAGATTTTCGATATTTAGAAAGTCGGTTTGAATTTAGATGTCGCTATTAAAAAGTAGGAATGACTGTTGATTTACAAATTCGGAAGAGACTGTGAAAAAATGTGTGCTTCGAACACAGCTCTGTAGGGGTGCAAAACGTGGACGCTGGACGCAGTCTGCAAAAAATACTAGAATCGTGTGAAATGTGGTGTTATAGGCGGATGATGTCAATGCACACATAAAGTTCGAAATGAGGACAGAACGAAGTACGACACTCCCTTCCGTATGTGAATTACCACCCACACGGAAGTAGAGGTGAAGTGGTGCAGCACTTTCTTTCCGACACTCCTATACCATTATTTACATATACCCCTGACCCAAGAGTACGATTTCTCTTGAGTTTAGGGACATGGGAATCTAATCCGGAAGGGAATGTAGTGCTTTCGTTTCTGATATTAAGGAAGTACATATATTTTTAAACTTTCGGCTCGGGTAACAATTCACACCGGAAGGGAATGCCGTATTTTTATTCCTTGATGCGTAATATACAATTTTCTGCAAATTATTTACCATTGTTCTTTTTGCACTTTTTGAGCAGATATTATATAACAAAAGGAAGCAATAATAAGTATAAATGAATGTAACAATTTCAGAAAATTGGCTTTCAAGACAACCATTTTCAATTCTTTGGGAACTCAAGCAGAATTTCCTGACACAATTCAAACAGAAATCATTTACTAAATGATGTAATTACGAGAAAATACCATCGGCTATTGTATGCTTTTGAAATGCTACAACAATCGACTAAAATTATTGCATTTTGGGTAAAAATCACCTTCTTCGAAACATTTGATGTAAAGCTAAAAGCTTTTTTGGAAAAATCAACACAATGTAACCGAAAATGGAAATTGTTACAATTACGCGATTTTGAAAGTAAATAAACAAAGAAAGTCTTTCAGGTTGCGTTAGTAACGTTTTTAGTTTTTACACCAACAGTCTACCGTTACGTCAAGGCTAATTTACATTGATAAGGATATCTTTTGTTAATTTGCGACTTACATATTCATCAATTCATCAATCATCTATCAGATACCTAATTACATGCCTACACAATCAATCAATGTAGATTGTGTAGTTAGCGTGCGCTTGGAAACCTGTCATTCTTTTCTTCTACTTACATTATAATTCCCTTTTAATATGATTTTATCTGCACAAATAATCACGATGCCCGTATACAAAATATTCCATTTTTGAACGGTGTAATTACTGCTTTAAAAGGACATACAGTGATTTTTTATTAAACAATTAAAAGAAGGGAAGTTGTTTACATATCTATTACACCTATACGAATAATACTCATGTATTACAAGATTACATCAATTTTATATGACATACATATTCATATCTGGGGGTAAAATGTCTTAGGGGGTTTAATTTTCCCGGCTGTAAAGTGCCCCGCATTCTTCTCCTAACAGAGTCAGACTCCTAAGCGTCTGTATCTCATTTATGATTAGTTCAATTCCACAAAACTCATCCAATTGAATTTCATACATGTTTTCTATATTTATATCACCTCCCCATTGTAAATGCTAAGAACCACCCTTAAAATAGCGCATAGAATTGTTTTAATAAAAAGAAAATATTTCAGTCTAAAATCGGTACCAAATGTACGTATTTCGGTTATTAATGCTGGTAATAAAAGTTCAGAGAACAGGAAGTTTTATTTCTGTTAATACTGTTTTCAATTTAATGCTATCGCAATAAAGAGCGTTTCAACTACTTTTCCAAAGATACAGGTAATATTTTCCAGTCAATTAATGTATCCATCAATATGTACATCTGTATGTATTACCATTTCTCCATACTAAAAGTTCAACAAACCTATATTTGCCTCTGCCAGGTGTAAACAACTAACTGGCATGTGGTATTAATTCTGGAAAGCTGCCCTCATTTTGTAATTTATTAGTCGGTTTACACGAATTGAACAATAATTGTTTGACTATTTATAACTGAGAATTACGCTATTGATCAGTTCAAAAATAATAGCACCTACAAAAACTATTTGTTCTGAAGTTCTAAAAGTGTTTTTTTAAATTCGTTTGAATGTTAACGTTACTGTCGTTTTAGTTAAAAATTCAAGAAAATTTGCTATAGGGTATTATTTTTTTAGGAACTAGAATAATTGGATTTACTATATAAGTACATACCTAGAGAAAAACTAATTTTATGTGTACTTTTTGGAAAACCAAAAACATAAAAAAATCTTACAAATGATTGAAGACCGGACTTTAAAACCTTAAAAAAGAAGAATCCGACATGTGTAGTTTCTTTTACAACTTTGTTACTCTGCAACTACCCTGGTAACTTCTTGTCAACTATCCAAATAGCATAGTCATTATTAATGCAGTGGACAACATACAAAATGATAACCTTTGCGTGCAAATATGTAAATAAAAGCAAAAGATAAAATTTACATTAATAAAACATATCCAAACATGACATTTGGTGAAAGTAAGTGTTTAGCATTTTTACGTCAGCAAAGTGGATCACGTAATGGCAGCGATTTATCTGCATATGTATCTACTTACTTTCATTGAAAATAATAAATTGCAGCCCTGATTTTCTTATTAAAAATAATATTATTAAATTAATCAATTCATTAATATGAGACGAATAATTAGAAGAAGTAGCCGATTCTAAGTATCTAAGAAGACAAATAAGTCAGGACGGAAGGAGTAGTAGGGATGAAAGAGCGAATGTAAAGATAGGAGACGAATAATTAGAAGAAGTAGCCGATTCTAAGTATCTAAGAAGACAAATAAGTCAGGACGGAAGGAGTAGTAGGGATATAAAGCAGAGGATAACGTAGGGTCTAGTCGTCTTCAATAAAAAGTAGTCACTTCTATGTTCGCAAATGATTAATTTAGAAATCCGAAAAAGATTGTCTAAAAATGTATGGAGCGCGGTGCTGTTCGGGTGCGAAACATGGACACAGTGGGCGCGGTGGAAAAGGAAAGGTTAGAAGCGTTCGAAATGTGGTGTTACAGGCGAATGATGTGGATATCGTGGATAGAGAAGGTTACAAATGAAAAGGTATTAGAAAGAATAAGAGAACAGGCGACTCTATGGAGGTATCTATCAAGATAGGTTGGAAAGACACCGTCTCAGGCATGAAGGTTTAGTAAGAGACATATTAGAGGCAGAAACAAGGGTTAAGAGGAGTAGAGGTAGACCTAGACCTAGATTACTGTTCGCAAATTGTTAAGGATATGGGTTGTTCTAGATTTGGGCAAATGCTTAGGTAGGAAAGAGTGGAGGTGCGTGTCCAATCAGCTTTAGGACTGACGACCTTCTTATATATGTGTATATGTATACAACTATTATTATTGCCCCTATTGTAAAGTTAGAGCATTTGAGAGCATTTAATTTAGATCTACCTCTACCCCTTTTAACTCCAGTTTCTGCTTTTAATTTGCCTCTAACTAGTCCTTCATATCTGAGTTGTCCTATCAACCTAATTCGTTCATTTTTTATTAATTGTGTTCCCTTTTAGGACCACTTCGTTGTGTCCGTCCGTCTGCCACGGCCATTTTTCTCAAAAACGCGTAGAGATATTAAATTGAAATTAATATCAAATACTTAGGTCACAAATTCCTTAGAGCTTGACCTAAAATCATGAAATTTGGCAAGAAGCAAAGTCTTATAGCACAAAAATAATCTTTGAATTGTTATATTGTAATTATGTTCTTTGGGGACTGATATCGGAGGAAAATTTTTAAGATACTCGGAAAAACAGGATTCGATTTTCGGGACGAACGAGTTAATTACATACCATTTCGATTCGATCCGATTCGAACTTGGCTACTTTTTATTACCCTACTTTTACATCCATTTCAATAATAAGTTATTGAATCCACAATTTTTTGCCGTTTCGCATCCTTGTTTCTTATTAAAATGTTTCCAAATTCTAACAAGAATTTATTGTAATAAAAAAAAATCTCACCTCTTTCTTGATGCTTTTAGTGCTATTGTGATTGTCGTTTGTCGCTAAAGCTGCAGCAGCAGCAGCTCGTAGCCTAGAAGCTCGAGTTGTTCGCGGTTCGTCCGAGCTGCTGGAATAAGTTTGATAATTTTGTCGAGTCTTATTCGGTAACTGCGAGGACTCGTCTAAAACATTATCAAATTGAAACGCCAACTGTCTACGACGTTCTTCTTTGTAGCGAGCCATTCTTTCGGCCCTGCCTTCTTTGATTTCCGACATCGTTTGTTTTGATTCACTAGATTCAGTCTTGTTGCATAGTGGACTTGTCGGGACCTGATCGGACTTTTCCGTGTGTTCTGATGATAGAGCTGCAACAAAAAAAATAAAAATTTTTGTGTATTCCTCATTCATTTATTGTATTTCCAATCATTAAAATAAATTACACAGCAGTGTCATATAAAAAGTAAAACAGTCATTTTTGAAATTTTGATTGTTCTGAAGTGTTTTAATAAAATACCAATTACAACAACATTAAGCTATTATTTCGGTTAGAATTTTGCATATTGTACTAAGAATGAAATAAATCGTATCACATAGGTAATTTGTATGCAGTACGTTCTTCATTGGCAAGTTCGATCGCAATCGTCATGAAAATTTTATGAGCCGAGCGAAGAAAACTGCCATCGAGCTAAACTGCTACGCACATGGGTAATACGCCATCACTTCATAAAAGATTTAACGAAAACCTCTCAGATTTTGACACGCTTGTAACGGTTACATCTAGCTAGGTACTTATTTATTTTCCTCAAATAAAACAGAAAATCCAGCAAAATATCCTGTCTCTTTTAAAGCTTTCATTATTATTCCATTCAGGAAATCTCTGTTATGTAAACTATTAAATATGTTTGCTTTCCAGAATTTCGTCGAGAGCGTATTCATCACGACTCAATCTGTTTATACAACACAAAAAATTCGCAAACATTCTAGTGCGAAAATATATCTCCAAAATTATTTAACAGGAAGTTGAAAAGCAACAAACAATTTAAAATTAACTAAGCAGTAATCTTCTTTCTTCTTTTACTAGCTAAATTGTTATAAACTGAAATTCTTATGTCGCCTATCTAACCATCACCTCAATTTACATTTACCGGTTAAAAAATATTTAAAAGTTGAAAAGCATCACTTTTGTACTTAAGATTTTCTTCATTTTATAAAACGAAATGTAATTTCCTACGATAAAAGTTAATAAACAATTTTCATGTTATTATAAAATTGTATGGCTGTTTCGACAGATTACTGACTCCTATTTGAACTTTTTGTTCTGTTTAGTTACGTGTCTGCCACGTATTAGGGGTAGCTAATGCGTAGAGGGTTCATTCCACACAATGTAACATTCTACAGATGACGTGCATCACGTTGTTTGTAAAAATTCGAACTGTTGTATTTTCAACTGAAAACTTTGCCATTGTTTAATCTCCAGTTTTAAAAGGAAGTCGTTAAACAAACGGATATACGAATGGAACTGTCAGCCACATTTCTCTGATAATGGATTTTTCTGGGTTAGTGTACGACTAGAGGAGAAGTGCGCCAGCTCATTTTAGTGCGAAAGGTTACTGACATGAAACAATAACATTGCCATCAATGTCAACGTCAAAATCGAGGTGCTATTGAAAATAAGGATTGTTTTATTTTCACAACTGTATCGTTCTTTACTTGGTGGTTAAAATTAGGAATGGCAAAAATGTATCGACGTTTTTCACGAATTTCACAAGAATATTGACCTTTTCTGGTATGATGGAAACGCTGATGTTTTATTTTGATGCATTGTAGTTTTTAATACTACTTCTAAAAGCATCTATTAATGAATTTGCATATAGATCGTCATTTATTACATACTATAACTAGTTTATTATTTAACATTATTAGCATTCGTTGATAACATCGATATTTTGTTTCGAAGACCTATTCACGATGAATTGCAGAAGCACCACAGAAAATTGTAGAGTATTCTTAAGAAAACATCGAAATTTTAATAGAGTGTAAACTCTATATAACGATACTTAAGAGACTGAACATTTTTCGGCGTTATAAGGAGTGGTCGTTAAATGGAGAGGAATAAAAGATATTATTTTACTATTCTATAATAATATGCATTTACCAATATAGTACACATTTTGCACTGAACATTGTTATTTATACATTGCCTGTTATCTTCGTGTGATGTTTTTTGCTGCTCCAATATTTAATTGTATTTTGTTACGTATCTTACTCATATCTTGAGATACTGCTGGATCAATTTGATTATATAAAAAGTATTTTTTTAATAGTTTCGCTGCATCAAGTGCTTGTTTGATGCTTGGTGGAGGGACAGGATCGTCTTCTTCGACAACGTACACAGCTGCAGTTCTTATCTATTTCGGCAACTTAGAAAGTATACTGCTTAATGATTTATAATGCCGCATTGTTGTCGTTAAATAGAGTTGATTGATTGATTGATGAATTTCTTGCGATATTTCGTGTGTGTATAAACACTATAATTGTTGGCAACCCTACAGTTCCAACTGAATATATACGTATTTAAATTCCGCAACAAAACCTAGCAAAAAATGAAAATCCAAAAAAGTTCAGAAAGGAACGATTCTACCCCCATGCTTTAACAGTTTTAAGTTTTTATTTCATATTGACGACTTTGTCAGCCTAAATACTGATCTTCATGTTTATTTTTAAATGTGATACGACTCCCTTGCAAACTTTCGTCTCCAATTTCACCCCTTAAAGACCTTTGAACACGTATCCATTCGATTGTAGCAAAGACTCTACTAACTCTCTAACTCCATGGAATAAGTTTCTAAAAATAATTTCTCAGTGGGTGATGTTTACATAAGAATAGATTCCTTTCGAATTTCATCTTTTCATCTAAGTTTCAATTGTTTTGTTTCAGCATTAATGAACCTGTCAGAAGTTTTTCTTTTACATACGCATATGATTTACCATTATACTTACTCAAAGATAATTTTTAATCAATCAATAATCGTTAATCCCTTTTAAGACTCAAAGTAATAGCAAACAAATATCGACAGCAAATTTAACTAGTGGACAGGGGGGTTCTATACCAAGAAAAAATTAGTTGGACCCTGCAAGCTTTGTCTTTAATTTCTATATATTATGAATAACTGTTTCAAATCACAATCTTTTCGTTTAGAAACAAACAGGAAGTGTTTGACGCTCTTACTGATAAGCAGACCGGCATTCACAAAGCGCTCAAAGCTTTTAGATAAAAATGCGGACCAATAGTATTAAAACCCTAGGCGAAAATTTTCAGTCTCTCTCCAGTCTCTCAGAGTCTTTTAGCGTATCTGAGAGCGTCTCTTACAGTCTTTCACAGTCTCTCAGTTATTACCTAGGTGTTTTTATGGATCTCTCACAGTCTCTGTATGAGAGACTCGAACGATAAAATTGTTAATTCAGAGATTTGAGTCTCTCACAGAGACTGAATGAATAAAACTGAAAAATTGAGAGACTCGAGTCTCTCGTAGAAAGACTGGAATCTCTGAAATATGTTGAACTTAGAAAATTTTAACCATGACTATCGAGACACCACTTATTGACAGATTCGATTCTCTCCTTCAGAGATTCGAGTTTCTCGTTCGGAGACTGGATACGAAATGAGGATCTCTTTATGAGCGACTCGAGTCTCTCGTTCAGAGACTGGATACGAAATGAGGATCTCTTTATGAGCGACTCGAGTCTCTCGTTCAGAGACGCTAAACAGTTTTTTTGACAGTCTCTCGATAGCCTCTCTCAGTGACACCAGAGATACTCGATGAGAGACGGAGATTCGAGTCTCGCTTTCAGAGACTTTGAGAGACTGAACATTTTTACCTCGGGAAACTCATGATATTCATTATGAAAGTACTTAAAAGATTGGTTGGTAAATTACAATTTTTTTTAAGAAATATAGCAAAATTTGATGGAATACTATTACTTATTATTATCAATTTTCATCATATGACTTTTTTCAGATAATATTATTCTAATTATGCTGACATTTAATACACCCAAGACGATAAATCATAAATCACAAATCTAATTTCCATCAAGCTTTGTTTGCGTCCCAAAAATGAATTATTTATCCGTTGTGTAATAATAAACAATAGTTAATAAGCATATAATTGGTTATTATGTGAAATTGGCATGTCTATAAATCTTTAGTTCCTTATGTGCAGTATTTTTAGCAAAAATTGTAATTTCGGAGAAGTAAGGAGCACTTAAAATCCACTGACACCAATACATAACAATAACGCGGTTGTGGTTATTAAATCGAAACAACAATACCTAACTTCAATATTCCAAAAACCAATTATTCGTTTCTACTTTTATTTGTTTTGTGTATTAAGTATAGTACTATTACATACACCTACTCAACCAGGTCAAATAAAAGATTGGAAGAAGAAGAAAATAGAGCAAGTAACAGAACAAAAGGAAGAAAAAAATAAGAAATACAAAACGTTACTTAAGATGGAGGTAAGTAAAACATCCGGAATATATTCAAAAAGGCGGAAAAGTGAAGTTCATATGAACGGTGGGTATGTTACTTCAGAACAAGAAATAGTTGGACGGAAAGTAGATCTTTGTAATGCATATTTTTCGAAGAGAATGAGGAAGTGGAAGAACATGGAAGTCTTTATGAGAATAATCAAAAAAGGATGAAAACATGAAGAAAGTAATGACAGGATCTGAGTAAGGATTGGGTTGGGTCAAGAGGACATGAGATTTGAGAGGACAGCAATTGGACAAGAAAAACAAATATAATATGTACACCATGTTTCCCTAAATAGAAGTCATTATTTTAAATAATAAATGTGAGTTAACCATTTTAAAAATGCTAACATTGTAATAAAACGCGTGCCTTATCAGTAGTAGACGGCTGGCAAACCCACGCCATCCGTTCCTTTTTAATTAATCAGCAGTGATGCAAGTTTTCTTTAAACAATCAATAACTTCGATCGTGGAGTTACAAAAAGTCTTTCAAACGACTAGGTCGGTCTCTTATCGTGTTAATAGTTAACGCACATGGTGTATCGCTATTTTCCGTAAGGCGTAACTCCTATTCCTTTAAGCAACAAAACCCTCCAAATTTAAGAACAAATTAAACACATTAATAATTAATCAATAATAAAGAAAGTAAGTGTTCAAAAGTGTTTTTTTTAAAAAGCTTAAGGAATAGCACCGGCCTTTAACTGGCGCAGTCGTGACGGATTTTTGGACATCTTAATCTTAAAGTGCACACACAAAAGGAAGAAAGAATCCGCGTGAGGGTGTACAAGTGTCTGTTGGCGCAACTAAGAGCAAGATTTCCCAAAAATCA